CTGCATTGGTGGATGGAGTATCGAAATTGCAGTTCTTTTTGAAGTTTCTGTAGAGTATATTTTGTTGATACAGTCAATCTTGCGAATATGGACCCTCGATCAACCATGTTGATATTCGCGAGTTATTGTTCTTCGCGAGGTTAAATAATAATAAAGATACGCGGGCAAAAGGACATTGGCAACACTCAAGGACATTCTCTTTCAAGGCTATGCATTCTAATGTGACAAAGTTTCTGTGCGCACACTATTTCCAAAAATGATAATAATTATCATTTTAATTATTATACTTGGAAGTATGCATGACATACGGTTGCTGCTAAGACAGTTCCAAAACCCAGCTTTGAATAGACCCTTTGCACAATAACGGTCACGTGATCCGAGACGGGGCATCCTCTTCGATTTTTGTGCAGAGTATCAGTTGTTGAGCATGGTGAAACACTGTATTTTTCCATTTTGGAGATGGAGGAGAGAGTGTCGAGTGGTTTGCCATCGATGGCTGTGGAACCCGTGGAGGAGCTGTCAAATAAAGAATGGTCTGTGAAGGAACTGAACAGTTTTCTGCTGAATGAGGGTGCGTATCTGTCTTGAAAAAGAAGGAGTTATTGGAGCGGTAAGTTTTTCGCAGTCAGTGGACATTTTCGGATTACTGTAGATTGAAATTTATTTTTATTTTCTCTACCTTCTCTCCTCTGTCGATGTAGAGAACGCTTCTCTATGCAGAACCCTGATGCTCCTAGAACTAAGAGGGGCACCAGTCTTCCTCGAGTGTACCTTCATCATGCCCAACTTTGTCATGCGTCCGAGTGGATGAGTGATGAACTTCTGTTTCCCAGAGTGAGTGCCACACCATGCGTGCTCATCTCCAACGCAGGGGCAAGTCGCCGACGACAGTGAAGAGGGCTAGGGAGCTGATGGAGTAGTACTAGTGAAGAAGCCCGTGGATAGTGTCCATGAGTTTTACTTTGGTGGCTATGTGCATAATGTGAAAGTCTGTCATATCGTGCACACAGCCACAGCTCGAACTCAGATGATTTTCTCCGCACACCTGAGCGATGAGGCTGCGTCGCTCTGCACTTCAACATCAGCAGCTCGAGCAGCGCCAGCAAGCAGTCGATCTTCCCCACAAAGACAGGGATGGGTCATGCCTTTTTCTCAGGCTCCAGAGTCTCTTGGCAGGGCGTTCAGCGTCTTCGCAAAAGCAAGGATGAAAGTCGTCATCGATAAAGTGTTCCGAGCACAACACTGTGAACGATGTCGCAGCAAACTGCGGCCCTCTTCTCGCCAGATAGCGAGGATTCAAGAGTGTGGAATGCCAGCATAGCCAGGGAATGCATGGAAAGACAAGTGGGTTTCTTAGACTAGCCACTAGGGATGACGGTTGCTGCAAACAAGAACCCAACAGTGGTCCTTGGAAAGCATTTCGGAACTTCTTCCTTCAGAACTAAAAAAAACTTCAAATGAAAAAGGCTGGGAAGTACATACATGAACATCGCGTCAGGACCGTGAAAACACAGCCTGTCACAGGAAACTTGATCACGTCCTGCAGCAAACGATGCATGCTGGTTGCATGCCAAGTGTGCAGCGCGTGCACAGCATGCCCCGTCTCGACCCCTCTCGCTTATTGTGCAAAGGGTCTATTCGCTCGATTGTTGGGGCACTTTATATTATTAGGCCACACTGAAGAAGGTCTGTGGTTCGACTCACCCGACCGACCGTACATTTTTCAGCCCGACCGTAACTTTTTTTCGGCGGGCTGTCGTGTGACTGACGTAGACCCGGGTGCTCGAATGAGACACAGGGTACCAAAACAGAAACACCCTGAAATTGTACCTAAACTTGTTCCGATTTCGTTTAGTTTTCACAAATACTAACGGTATGCCAAATTTCAGCGCTGCCCGGTAAACGCTTTTTGAAATACTCGCGACCCACTTTTTGCTGGGTCCTTGATTCGAGGATATGGGTCTCCTGTACGGTGCTGCCAAAGACCTGCTGAATCTGCGGCTCCACTGACCATCTTGCTCTCAAAAATGAAGTAGTAAGTTACTACTCCCTGCCCTCAACTGCCACACCAAGCGTAGACGATGGTAGACCCGTGTGCTTGAATCGGAGACGATCTGACGAGTTCGCTGTTTCTGATTCGAGCACCCAATTTTCGAATAAAAAATCCGAAGGAAATACGACAATTTTACTGCGTCCTGTAGCTTGTGTTGTAGCGCACCCAGGTTCTGAATTCCTGCTGGGTGGGTCAAGCCAGACTCTCTTCCCTGTTCCATCGCCTCTCCAAAAGTATATTCTGACATTATTGAGATTTACAGATGAGAAATTTCACACCTGTCAAATCGTTTCTGATTCGAGCACCCGGGTCTACGTGGACTGAACACGTCCACGTCTACGTGCTGTGCAGCGTGAGTCTGCGGACGCAGGCGGCTCCTTTTGGACTTGACTTGTAGTTGTACTGCAGTGCAGTGCAGTGAGTGGTACGACTGCTGCCTTGTGCTGGTAGTAGAGTCTACTCGATACGACCACCGGCAGACTGGCGAGACTTATTTTGAAGTGACCGTCCGGTTGAGAGTGATTGCCTCGTTCCAGATTAAGGACGGCCTTCTGTTTTGGGATGAAGGACAGACGAGATTGCACTTTCCTCGTGTATTGGGAACGATATTTCACCTGTACCGGTAAGTTGCTGCTCCATGTGTGCAAGCACAGGAAGCGTCGATGGAAAAAGCCCATGTATTCGTGCACGCCGACACCAAACTAGCAATACATGTACATGTACCGGTACATTGTACAATTTGTACTTCGATTGAGTTCGAAGTAGTTCCCGAACTTGCTTTCAACTCGCATCGTTCTTCATTTGCTTGATGATTTGGACAGTCAGAGTCACCGCTTGAAGTTATTCTCTTCTCGTTCCAGAGCTACACAATGTTTCAAAGTATTAGCCAGTGATCCCTTTATACAACATGTATGGCATAACACTGTGTAATAATGCCGATGTACTGGGTGTCTAAAGGCAGTACAGTGTATTTACATGTACTAAAAAATATATTTAAAAAAAAAATCCGCCCGCCCGCCCGTAAAAAAAATGTCCATGTTAGTCGAACCACACACCTTCTTTAGTTTGGCCTTATTGATTAATTTTATGAATGCACTTCTCCAGTAGTACATGTCGTGTAGGGTGTTGTGACCCCACCGGCCACCGCCCGACCGACATCTTTCTAGAGTCCTGCGTACTTGCTGCACCAGAACATACAATATACCAGTACATGTAGTACTATTTGTACCAGTGGTACTATGGATAGCTAAAATAAAGGAAACTCACCTTTTTGTCAATCTCCCAGAATGCACTGCTCTATACCGGATACCAGTAGTGTTACAACACTAGAATGTCCAACTTCACGTCAGGATTGCAGACGAAACTAAAGAGCTCCAACTAGTATCAGTCTGCTGAGGTCAAGAAGACTTTGTGCTAAGATCTTTCGCTATTCAAACTCAAAGTGGTGGCATGTCACGTCGAGGCGTTGACGGACAAACTATGTGAAGGTGCCCACTGACCCCAGGCGCTGCATCTGCCGCCTAACCTGGGTGCAATCAGCCATGGTGGTGGCCAGGCGCAAGTGAAACTTCCCAAGCTGTTGGTGTTTCTCAACACAATTAGATTGCCATTTGTAACGCGGCGGTACGAATTGAAAAACATATTTTCTTCATGTACTTGTAGGTAGTGGCTCATTCACACACGGCACACACGGCACATGCGGAAAGGACTGTACTACTGGCGGAACGAGACGGTTATCATGATTCCAGTGGCAGTGTAGATTTTTGGAAGCAACAACCTGAACAGGGAACTAAAATTATTATCATTACTTTCGGCTCCTTTTTTTCATTTCGTTTAGTACGGCAAATGTACTTCGTCTAGGGCGTGAGACATCGGGGGGGGGGGGGGGGGGGCTGTTCCTCCTGTTTATCGGATTTTTGTTCTTCTCGGCACGGTGCGGAAATCATACCCCATTTCTTCAACCCCGGTGTGGAAAAGCCGTAAGGTAAAGGTAAGTTTGCACGTTCGCGTAACAACCGGCGAGGCAATTGGTGCAGTGTTGTTTGTGAGCGTGAGGATTGTGGACATGTGGATGGTATCCTGGGACCACGAGTACGATAGCTCAAGCATGCACTTCCGCGTTTTAGCCATCAGACCAGACCTTGGCAGGAAGATGAGGAGCTAGCTGCAGAGCCAAAGCCCATCATTCTGAAAACCGTGCTCGAACTTCAAAGCTAGATCCGTACCGGTCAAGACAGGTTTCCAAGGCGGGAGGATCCGCCGTTTTCTGAATGAAGGGCGTTAAAGCCGGATGACCGCCCAGACCGTGATACTGGGTAACTTTTTTCACTACTGTGAATGCTGCTGTCTGATGATCGCTCCGATGCGTGAAACTTTAAGTTACAGCTAACACAGCCTTTCGCCTCTGTTGTGTGGGTATTTTCACTATTAATTATTTCCTCACTTCAGAATAGAAAACAAGGTACCGTGCTCGCGCGATTAGCGCCCCTGGGGCACTATTCAAGAGAGGGCATTATTTTTTCATTGCTGGTACATTTGCGGATTACTGTACCTATCAGAGGCTCAAATCAGTGCACACTGCATACGAGTACATGCAAGTATTACGCGTTGAGAGTTTTTTGTTCGACCGACCCGGACCGAGAAATAACCCACTGTCCTCACCAATTACAAGTGAAATTAGACCGAGGAAGGACGGTGCTAGATGAACAGTGTGAATTCCAGTACAAGTCATGTACATGTACCTGATCATTGCAATGAACTTCAAAGTGTGCCTAAAAATAGACGAGAAATTAATGGCAAAATCGACTGGCCACCTGTATAATGCTTTCAATAACAAACGTGTCCACTCTTCAATGATCGTTGAATGTGCAACAATTTATAAGTTCCCAATTTCAAGTTTAAGAGCGAAATTAATGCCGTCAAGTCTAGAAGAATATGTCCACGTGTACATCGATACACTTGTATTTAAAAAACAACAATAACATGAATACATTCACCAGCAACGGCAGAGTACAGGGGGTGTCGGAAGGTCTTCAACTTTGGTGCAGCTATGAAGAAGTAACGCCACTTCCCCTGTGAAAAAAAGTAGAAATTCGGGCCCAAATAGTCCATATCAATTTGCATTGCTTCAAAATTCTCAAGACGAAACTAATGGTGCTTCGTTGGCCGCACCTGGCGCACCGGGCCCGATACCCCAGCACTGTAAAAAACTGGCATAATATATATTTTTATCGAATAAGATTTGGAGATTCTGATCCATGGATAGCACTACTCGGTGGCGCCTACATATGCTGGAACATTCATTGGCATAAAAAATAGAATAGAATGAACTAGATATTGTCATTCGGAAACTGCAGGAGGCCGAGCAGGGGAATTGCTTTGAAAATACAGTGCTGGCCAGAGAAACCCAACCTCATGAATAAAGTAGCGCCATGTTTGATTGCACAGATCAGAATGTGTAGTGCTAGGGCTGCATAGCGCCCGGCGCTATTTTAATTGTGAGATTGGATTTCTTTGGCCAGTATTGTAGATCCACGGCGACGGAGCTCAGTGAGAGCTTACCCACATGAGATCGTCTCAGTTGGGTCATGACATCATCATAACTGGGTCATGACATCATCGTAACTGGATCATGACATCATCGTAACTGGGTCATGACATCATCGTAACTGGGCCATGATGTCATCGTAACTGGGCCATGACGTCATCGTAACTGGGTAGGCCGGACTTATCGAAACTATCATCTATAACTGCTCCTGGCCCTTGGTACGGCTCTACACTTGCCATCCTACGCAGTGGAATCTCCACTGCAGGTGGATACGTTGGAGCTGCGGTGGCTGGGGCAACGCTCGTGGAAAACAGCCGTTGATCAACAGGCCGAACTGGAGCTGACTGGAATGGCACAGGTGCAGCTCCAGCTGCCGGAGGTGATGGATACATGGGTGGAGCGGCTTCCGTGAATCCGGGATCACGCGGCTGTGCGAACGCTTCCGGACCGGAACTCCCTTGACCTGCGTGTCTATTGGACGTCTGCCCATCAGCAGGAGTGGGCCCGCCACTGCCAGCGCTAGCCTCAACATCAACACGCTGCTTTGCAACGAGTGCCCAGATACAACCTGTAACCAATAATAGAACTCCCAAACCAAGGATTAAACCTCCAGCAGCAATGGTTTGGGAGTGTCCTTCATAGACTCCGACACCGATAGCACCGCTTCCTATGAAAAGCAGGAAGATGCTAACTGATGCCATTATAGATAGACAGCGGTCTGTGAAGGAGAAATATCACAAAATGGAGAGAGAACAGACAAATTCTGAGATCAGGAAACAATGAGATACACAACGATACACAGAAAGACAGCTGGACAGAGATTGCACGGCACACACACACACATACACGCACACACACACACACACACACACACACACACACACACACACACACACACACACACACACACACCGCACACTACACACACATCCACGAACCCGCAACTTCTCGATTGGAAATCGCTGCACATACCACTGCACCATATGGGACCCACACATGCACACGCACGAACGCGCGCAGGCACACACACACACTCACACACATACATTATGCACGTGTGTGCACACATCCACATCCAAATGCATTCATAGACAAAACGCACCTGTACAACCAGAAAAGGAGACGCACTATATTGAACGAAAGTGCCGCTTAGAGATACTGTTTTATGGAAGATGAAACGGAGCAAGACGTGTCAGGGGCACTGGAACTGCTACTTCTAGCTATCGTGGAGCGTGGCTGGTGAACTGTTCTTGCTGATGGCTTCAGATGTAGCATGGTCTAGTGTGGTCACAAGACAACCCTACACTTAAAACATGCTAGTCCTGACTCCAGCATTCGGTGCACTCTCGTAGTCTGATCTCAAACCCAGCGCCACCATTGTTGATCCCCCCCCCCCCCCGTCCAGGGAATCCCCCCCCCCCCCCCCCCCCCGTCCAAGGAGAAAAGAATAGGACTGTACTTTCCCTTTTAACACGGTGCATGGCTCAGTTACATAGAAAAGCCGTAATACAGTAAAATCTGTAACTAAAGACCAACGTGACTAGCGACCAGCCTGGTACTACAGACCACTTCGCCAGGCATGGACGGACTCACATTCATATCATTAGCGAGGTTTTGCATTCCGAAATTCGGCAAAAAGATTCGGCACGAGGGAGCGAGGTCGAAAATGCACACGAAGATTCGGCATGATTGTTCGGAAAAAGCTCACTTTGCCGAACATATTTTTCGGATGAATTTTCTTGTTGAAGAGCGCTAGCGCGTGATTTATTCAAAGATGTTTCTTATCTCGGCATGGCTTCGCAGGTGTCTTTGGCGACATCAGCATCGTCAGCTACCTCTGATTGCTCCTCTCCACTGCCTGTCTACCCTCTTTCGCCTGGAGTGTCCTCACCGTCATCTGTGTGGCTGAAAAGACTATGGCGATACGCATAAAATTTGACTTGGCCATGGAGTTGGTTTTTCTGAGGCGACTGAGGAGGCAGGTTTGGCCCTCGACTCTTTAGGCGATCAAAATTCGTCGGAATCAGCAAGAAAAGGAGCACAGGACAGGACGTTGCTGATGCTGGGGCTCACGAAATGAAAACACATCATTTTCGACTTGCAAAACAAACGTTGGTGCGAAAATTCGACATTTTGATGTTCGACAAATGCCCGAAGAACGCCGAGCCGAAATTCGGAATGCAAAACCTCACTATTATTATGGTTGTGCGGTACAAACCTCTAACTAAGGACCACCTGCCACTGAAGACCGCTTTCTCTGGCCCCAAGGGGTGGCCGTTAGTCACAGATTTCACTGCAATTAAGTTTTAAAGCAACATTTGGTGACTGTTGCTATGTGAACAGCCAATCAGCAAACTAGCAGAGCAGACATTAGTCCACAGTAAAGACCAACTTCTGTGCTAGCTGGACGAATGTCACACAACGCACGTTGGCATGAACAGCAGCTCAGCAGACTCACATTCATTGCCCGCTCCATGACCACCACCATCACCACCAGCTGCCCTGGCACGCCGACGGGGATTGACTGCAAAATGGCACACACACACACACACACACACACACACACACACACACACACACAACCACACACACACAAATTACAAGGTTTCACACAATGTACAGATACCAATACCAAAGAGTACAATCATCATGCACATGCTGGATAAGCATTAGAAATTCATTTCTTTACAAGAACTATCCGGTGGCATTGCGTACTGAAATGAGCAGTTTTGCGAATTTGCTCATGAACTTGCGTATTCATTTTGGGGGTCTATATACTCAGACATACAGCTGCAACCAATATGGAGTTCCAAGTCAACTAAAGTGGTCATGTCGTCCTGAAATACTCTGCAAATATACACCTGTTTTTTTATCTCAATCTCTGGACAGCTAGCGGTTTAGACATTGTTAGGTCTACTCAGCAGAGCTCAGTTAGTAGTAATGGTAGTAGTATTCTTTTACTTACGATCGGAAGCCTCGACAGTGATAAACACAACTCTCAAAGAGTTCGGGTATAAGGGCACTCCACGAGTAAGGACACTTTTCCGATGCCCCGCCGAGTGTCGTTATACGCAACGTTGACTGTATGTATCTCGCTCTCTCAGATGGTGGCTTGGGCACAGGTGAGAACATGACTCGTTGCACTCCAAACAAATGATGGCTGGAGCGAATATTAGAACAGGCTGAGTACCGTAGTGCTTCTGTCTCAGAATCCTTGCATGCATATGCAGTGCAGGCGCGTATGCAGGGTCACCTCTAGGGGGGGGGGGGGGGGAGGGGGGTTCCAACCGAATCAGAAACAATGAGTTTTAACCCTTTTTTAAAAGAGCCCTAGGAGATTTTCAAAATTATGCATTTTTCGTGTTCCTTGGACCTTAACTTCAGTTCTACTCACTCAATCTTCATAATCTTGGGCTTCCTGGAAGTGGAATGGTATCCACAAGAGGAAGAGAATGAGGTCGACCATGATAGCCAGGACACTGCAGGCGCGTAGCACCGCTGTTGGAAGTGGTCAGGGTGCATGGAGGGGGGGGGGGGGGTCGGGGTGTCACCCGGGAAAATTTTGAAATTTTAAAGGTGCAACATCCTGCATTCTGGGCACTTTTGGCATTGGTCCGGCCGCAGCCGGACCGACCGAACCGGCTGCTACGCTCCTGCACTGTACCTGTATATATAACCAGCGCTAGAGTGCAGCAACGGTGCGAAAAATGCCCTAAAAGCCCAAACGCGTTCTGCTTCAGCGATTTCGTTTTTCTCGATCGCAGAGTTCCGATTGTTTTGCTGTGTACTCTTGAGAATATCACAAGGGAAGCCCCTGCAAATTTGAGCAAGTCAACGTGACGAACAGTCTCAAACGCTCGATACTCAACACGCACTGTGCGAGATCGCGGCTCAACTTACGAATGATATAATCTCAAGAAACATTGCTCGCAGCGCTTCGCGAGTTGTTTCTACCGACAGCTTGAGAGTTTTCTATTCAACCTAGATAGTTAGATTGTTGAAATTGAGCGAGATTTGACTGAGTTACGATCTGTTGAAGTTTGCATTCTTGTCAGATCGACCGCGCGCCCTACCAAAAAATGCCCAAAAGCGTTTGTTCGTTTGGAACATTTGGGGGGTTTCCGGGCAACGGGAACTCCCCACCCACCCACCCACCCCCCCCCCCCCCCTGCGTACGTGCCTGCAGTGCACGTCTAACAAACTGGCAGCACTAGTGTACAATTTGCTGACTTTTAAAGGATAGTGCAGCCAGCTTGCGCAAACAGTCTAGTCTTACCTCGCCTCGGCATCTTGCTCAACAGGCGTCGTGGCGGTCACGGTCTTTCCTGTGCATGAGAAGCACACAGTGAGATACGGGAAAGTGCAATGCGACTGAGAATATCATGAGATGAGAAGACTCCCATGATGGCACTGATGCTGAGCAGAAAAAGTTACATGATTGTGTGTGTGTGGGGGGGGGGGGGTGCAGGTGGGCGAACTGAGGAGGTGCCTTCCCAGAAATGTCTAGCGAATGTTTGGTGCAGCGGCGTAGGAAGCGGGGGGGGGGGGGGGGGGAGGGGGGCAAGGGGGCACCACCCCCATCCCAAACCTTTTGGGGGATGTAGGGCCGAAACTCGATCGATGTTACATGTTTGCACGCGCAAATGAGAAGCATGCAGATCAACCCGCAGTCATGCACTCAGATCGATCATAGTCAGAGCTGACCCTGCAGATGCAGTGGGATGCCGCGCTTGACAGGCCCAGAAACAGGCAGCAAGTCTCGACAGGTGCATGTGTGACCAGGCTCTGAAGCACGGTACGCGGTCACAGATCAACCCTTGGTGGTTTTCGCACCGTAGCTGCTGATGAAGAGTTGTTTTTCGTGGGCAGTTTCCTTCGGAATCGGAAAGGCAGGAGTACTTTGCTTTAGTCAGAGTCAGTTCTTCTTATTGCTATACCGCAGCGTTCTGGAGAAAACCACTTTCCAGAAGAAATCATCCTGACGAACTGTTAGTATAGTAGTTGAACTGTTCTCGGAGAGCAAAGATTTTAAGGTACGACCGCCAAAGTGTTGGGCGGTGGTCATAGATTTCACCATTCATGGGGAGAACTGAGCACGCGGCTTGCAGCCATCATTCAATGATCTCCAAAGGATAACACAAGGGTCAAATTAGTCATCAACAACACCGTCGTGGAAAATCCGTTATCAGCTGAACATACTACTTCTACCAGCCGCAGAGTTTTATCACTGGAAGGAGATGGGTCCGAGGTTCTTATAGTAGCTGAAATCGGGGAGGTCTTGGATATAACTTATAAGCTTATCCCTCTCTGCCTTTGCCAGTACGGTTTGCTGTGTGATTGATTCTCTTTCACCATTGCAGATCAATTTTGCTTTCTGGTAAATTCCCCTTTGGACCTTGGCCGGACTGTCAGTCGGAGCTACATAGTTTTTCAGTGGTCGCTACGTGCAATCTCTCCTGTTCAACATACCGGTACATTGCACATGCATAGCACATCCTCTTGTCCAGATTTGAGTACTGAATGTACTCGGTTTTCGCGATTGCTCCATACAGGTCCAGTGCACGTATTTTATGATGTAGAGTGAGATATTCCGAAAGAAGTGACAGCACCAGCGCAGAGTGAAATACTTGAACAAATACAATTAAAAAAAGGATTTCCTGTCCCTGCGGGAATTTGCGGAAACATTCTCGATAACTTGCGCAAGAAATTGCGGTCGAAAACAACAAAAAACGCGGCAAAAAGTGCGGAAAGATGCGGAACTTGCCAGGAACTCGCGCAATTATTGGCAGAAATGCGGATTTTGGGCCAAATCACGAAATTTGTTCAATCCCGGTTAGAATCGCCATTTGCATACTGTGCAAATAACCTACATACAGGAATCCTGCAACAGGATCATGGAAAGCACCGTATACTGTGTGAAAAGTGCATAATAATGTAGAAAGAAGTGCAGAAGACTGCTTCTTCCACGTGGTTGACTCCTTTCGCGGATTGCAGTGGCCATTCTTGTCGCGCCAGCTAGTGTGCAGAGATATTTGCGAACAACAACACTTGTAGTGACTGGATCTGTCCATGCATCTGCTCCACTTCCGTTCTTCAGAACGACGTGCTGCTGTCCGACGGCCTTTCATGACGCGAATTAGGCAGCGCTGTTCCTTTCCGCTGAAATTGTTTCAGGACAGCTGCAGTGACTAACAACTTCTTCACTAGAAGATGAAGATATTGTCTGGCTTGGTCCATTGTGTGTACATGACCATCTACGTTTCGTTCATGCAAACGAGAGAGCTTGGAAGCTCAGGGCCCTACGCTATGCTTTTTTGCCTTTATGACCTAGACAAAAAAAGCATAGGGATGTTATAATTCTTATAAACTTCTACTTTTTTGTTTTTAGACATAACCTGGGATTCGAACCCGCACTATCGCCCTGCATGCATCCCCCGATACACTTCGCATACATACTAATTCTTCCAAGTTGCTTCACGTTATGATCTTGTATTTGAAATCCCTCTTTGAATATGCATTGTGGCCAGCCGTCTTTGATTGTACGGTACGGTACGGGACAGGTACAGGACAGGTACGGTCGAGGGTAATACGACACCGTCTACCGCCTTGATGACGGCAAAAAAAGGATAGGGATGTTATAAAATTTTCAATTTTCCTATTTCTTCAGGCATTACCTGGGATTCGAACCCGCACTATCGCCCTACATGCATTCCCCCATACACTTCGCATTCATACTCATTCTTCCAAGTTGCTTCACGTTATGATCTGGCGTTTGAAAGCCCTATTTGAATAGTGCGGCCAGTTGTATGTGGTCAGCTGTGTTTGATGGTACGGTACGGGAGACGGGACAGATACGGGATAGCGCCAGGCGTGACACAAACACACAAACACCAAATTAAAGCTGTGTGGACCCTGGCTAGCGCCAGACGTTACTGAAGTAACGTCTTCTGCATAGCTACGGAAATATAATGTTAAATGATCAGCATGAGATTTCGAGCATTTTCACAACATATCAGTGCATGGGGCTGCATTTAGATAATTTTAAGTCCTGGGTAATTCGAAGTTGGAGCCTGGCAATTTGAAGCTCGAATTAAAGGGAGTCTACCTGTACTACAAAAAGGCCAGAATATCCGAATATAAGGAGATAAAACGAAGGAGCAAACCAAAAATGGATGAAGTGAGAGAAAAATAACAATCCGAAATAAATTCTGCAAATACTTTTGCCGAACTCATAATCAAACTGATTGAAACGTTTTTGCAACACAATGATGTAGCCAATCAATGGAAAAAACATTTCAATCAGTTCTAATAACATGCACGATGAGCTAGGCAAAAAAGCATAGCATAGGGTCCTGAGCTTCCAAGCTCTCTCATTATTTCATTACATAGAAAACTGTGGGCACAAGTTATGCGATCGAGTCCACCAACTAAACCAGATTTTGAACAGTCAGATGTGCACAACCTAGCACAGAACTGACAGGGAATACTGAGACATTCCACGGCATGAAAGTCAGCATGGGCACTGCTCGATAGTGCTAACCAACGGCCTTCCAACTTGGAAGGTTCATGGATATTAGACTAGATTATTAATGCTAATTCCAAAGAGGGGAATCGCATAACTTGCAGGGGCGTCACCCGTGATGGGCACGGGGGCACGTGCACCCCCTAAAAAATTCGACCTTGGACGGCTTGGTTTTTTGCGAACTCCTGGTTGTGAAAAGTGTAGTGCTGGTGGAATCTACTAATAAACTGCATGCACTAGTTGTACTGCGCTGCCGCGATCGCGTGAGTGCATGTAGCGAGTGCATGTAGATGTACATGACCGATTGTACTAGTGCTCTAGTACTACTGCTACTTCGAAGTACTAATTTAGTACTTACATGTACATGTACCTACTACGCGCGTACGCGTGCATGTATGCGCAGCGCTGCATCCTTTGTCCTTGTGCTAGAATCTACACGCGCGACGGCGTGCATGCCGGGTGTTTGTTTGAAACAGAAGAAATAAAATTTAATTCAGTGTGGTCGCAAGTAAGTTAGTCAGGTCACCACACTTGAAGAGTCTTTGGAGCTGTTTCCTCTCAAAATGTCGTCTTCTCGAAAAAGGAAAGCGTCTGGCCAGCTCACTATCAGCGAACTTTTTCGTGTTTTCCTGTGTAAATTTTTCCTGTGCAAAATTCCTGTCCACCCCCCTGTGAAGGGGTCCGGTGACGCCCCTGACTTGTGCCCACAATTTCCCAGGTTACAAATTTTTCCTTGGTGAGACATAATTTCTGCAGTGCAGCTTGCACAGATACTGCACAGATACTGCACAGATACTTGAAATAGTCTGAGTAGGTCTAAAACTAAAACTCTGTGCTGTCGTTGTTCAGCGAGCCCCACTAAGAAGTAAGATGTAAGATCAGTCTCCGATCACGGCGCGCTTGCTGTATAAGCGCAGCAGGATGCAAAAGAAAGCTCACCTTGCTATGGCTATCGCCCATAATGCGTCTCTCCATAGCGTCACCCGGCTGGTAGCGTAACAACGCTATGAGTACCAACTTCTCGTCCGGATAGCAGGCGAGAAACTAAACAGCTCCAACCGACTTGTAAGTTGTAGTAGTCTGCTAGTATCAAGAAGACTGTGCGCTAAGTTCTTTCTTGTCCACGCCATGGCTAGGACTACATTTTTCTAGTCAAACTCAAACTGTCAACATGTCACGTCGTCTGCGTTGACGGACTAAAAATTCTGGACGTAACAATAATAGTAATCAGCGTAAATCTTACGTCATTTTCACCCTTGTAGCTGTGTTTCGGAGAGACTTTTAAAAAGTCTTTGGTGAGGGAGTCGTAAAAGCCCAGCTTTTACGACTCCCTGCTTTTTTGGTGTCTGTTGCATGCAGTGTTGATTGATTTGCCTGTAATGGCAGACTACATGTACAGCGCGTAGCGTGGGGTCTACTCTCTGCCCGGCGCCCTGGAGCTAGCAACTACCGTACTGGCATATTAAATGTTGCGCAGTGAGGCCATATTATAAGCGTTACCTTGGTTACATTGGCACATGTTTGCCGCACGCAGGGCGTTACACGCAAAGTCGCACAGGAGCCGTTACACACCCCAGTCCTTTTTTTGCTATAGGGCTTGAAAGTGCTACGTCACAGCATAGCAACAATTTCAAAAATTCAAAAACTGGATCCACCTGGATCTAGGCCTTGACGGATAATGCTAATATTTTCGTGAAATTATGCTTTTCGCATTGCTGAAAAAATTACAGAATTATGCTATTTTTATGCTAAAAGTTATCATATTATGCCGCATTATGCTCACATATGCTGCTGATGCATAATGGTTCTGTGCAAAATAACAAGGGAATTTTTTTGTAGAGGGCGTTGTACTGTAGTAGCAAAAGTTCAACGGGGTCAACGCACCGTCCGACCTAGCTACGACCATCACTGATTGTAGTGGACCGGACATGTTATCAAGGGAGTCGTAAACCTACAACTTCCTAGTGCATCTACTTGTACTTGTACTTGTAGAACATGTACAACTGTATGGAATTTGATGCGAAGAGGCGGATTATTACAATTTTATGCGATTCGTATGCAATTTGCATCGAATTATGCGATTATTCGATTTTGGTAGGAATTATGCGAAAAATTATGCTAGCATAATCCGTCAAGGCCTACTTGGATCCAGTTTTTGTATGGATCCAAGCACATTTCAAGCGGTCTTACCCACAGTATGGTGATGTAGCTAGTGAAACTGACTGATTTGGCTACTGGGGGCGGGGTTACAACTGGTGGCGAAATAAAAGTCACATCTGCATGCGACATGAGTGGGTTGCTATGCACCCACATACTTAGGCAATGGCAAAGTCACACCTTAGTGGATCCAAAAATAGAAATCTGATGTCAACTTACTACTCCCTGGCCGTTTTGACGTCATCACTTTCAAGCCCTATTGCCGCATCACTTTTTTGCTATTGCCGCATCATTTTTTTGCTTTTGCCGCATCATTTTTTCTTTTCATCCACATTGAAGGCACAGAAATTCAGTTGCTATCCAACTGTTACAAACCCGACGGCAAAGGGCGACAACGATATCAATAGAAGACTGTATATTTTGACTATCAGAGTGATCTGTTCACAAAAAGATCATCAAAAGGAAAATGACATAGGGGAAGAGCGCTTCCTCCAAAAACTACTTTTCACCACGCGGTACACGTGCTTTCACAGTTTTCAGCCTTTTTTTTCAGTGCAAACTGCAATGAAAAGATCGCCGCACCCCGCCGGACGCGCGTTACGAACTCAACGAAAATTTGTCGCACTAGCCTGGTCGCGCGTCACGCTGCACCCCCCCCCCCTGCGTTACGCGTTACGCGGCAACATATATTGCCAGTACGGTAGTTACTTGCCAAGGACCCTGGGCCTGGCCTGGTTATTACTTATTAGGACACCACCCCACGCACCAGTCCCAGTACTCCCTACAACAGTCAACAGTACAAGTATTAGTATGTTCGTGGCTATGAAAGAAAGTGATATTAAGCGTGGAGAACATGGCAACCTGAAAAGTGTATGGGTAGCCGAACGGGGACCTGAACTGTTAACAACTTCCCAGGTGTAGCCAGCCAACTTGTAGTCAAATACAGAATTTGTATTTTTCCTTATCTGCGGAAAGTGCTTGCAAATGTAATACATAATGGCGACAGACCCTTTCCACAAGGCACATACATGTACATGTACAAGGACCCTCATGTTGTACATGCACATGTACAAGAAGAAGGTGCAGCTTGATGTTGATGATTAAATTTTCTATTTGCATGCACCGTGAAGAAACCGATGGTCACAGTGCAGCACCATAATCATGAGTCCAGTTGTGCCTTTTCTTTGTGTATCATCTGTACGTACATGTATCTATGACAACCCGCATGATCTCAAAAGACAATGAAAGAGTCTGCATACTGGCCAATATGCAATTGGGAAATACTGGTACATCATTCGTGTGAAAAGGTTTTGAGAATAGGATGGAGTCCTTCCTGGGCAAGAGAAGTACAGTCTGCATGTACTACGAATCACGGATGAAACTAATGTCGTAATGACAGAGCCAGAGCCTATCGTGCGAACTGCACAAGCAAAACAAGTGTACCTGCACAGCTTGGCATCCGCGGCGACAATTTCAGCACTTGCACTCAGCATCCGAGTCGTGATCGTGGTACCGTGAGCCACAGCCACAGGTACTCAGGTAGTAAACCGTGATTATGAACCAAGTCACATCCACATCAGACTGGAAACGTGCAAGCAGCAGTCCAGCACTGTTGTGAATGCGCCAGTGGTCTACCAGCCTAGCTGCCCACCTGCCGCATAGCTCTCTGGAAAGGAGAAGATTGCGCGGCCGCTGTGATGGGCAGCTACTTGAATGGCTGGCTGCGACCGGGAGAGGCTAGATGGCAGCACCTCTCCATTACGAAGTAAGCGAAGGATTTGTTTAGAACATGACGAAGGAAGCTATGTCTCGCCACGAGAGCACCTCTTTCCAAGGCATGGTGGACACCTTGGGCAGAGCAATCAGTCAGAACAACTACAAAGTGCTGTTTTGCCTGAACTGAGTTGAGAGAGCTACCTGGGCTCCTTTTATACCGTCTGTCCACTTGTTGAGACGTTGTTGAGTGCTGCAAACTGGTACTTCGCGCGCGGCCTACATGACTGCAGGTCGTCAAGTAACAATACGTACCAAAGCAGTAACAATGACGTAGTTGGTACAAGTGTCATCATTCAATTATCGGAATGACATAATCTTCTGTTGCGCGCGATGACGAAATCCAGAGTTGATCTGGCAGACTGGCACCTGGTAGAAACCGGCGGTGCCATGCATTTCTGGACCATAGCCATAGTCTGCATTATGCATAGAGGACATTACTACATTATAGTACTAGAGTATAGCACAGTGCAGGTATTTTACCAGGTACGCAGTGACTTGGCGGGGCATTACATGGCACGGGTACTGAATGCGTGACCGGCCGGACCCGTGGAACATACTACAGTAGTACCGTAAGTCATGTATGTACAGTAGACAGTAGTATAAAACAGGGTATCCGGTAGCACGCGCAGCAGCATGTCGCCCGCGGACCCGGAGTGTCACAGGGTGTCACCCAGGCTTCATACTTATCAAAAATACAGTTCTAGCCCTAATCTAGGTAGTGCACTTGTGAGGTCTGCATCTGCCACAAAGGCGAAAAGGCATAGTGGTGGCCTGCGGAATCGAAGGCTATCTTGTGTGTCTCTGAACATTCCAGTGATGCTAACGCGGATCCCGCGAATTTTATAGGTAGTGCATACAGACTCGACAGGTTGGCATGGCAGAGCAAGACATACATTGTACAACCATGTACAAATAAATAACTGTCCATGCATGTACACAAGGCAGAACAAGAGAGATCAATTATTACATCTTTCTTTGTACATAATGTATGTACATGTACAATACTAGTAACCAGCTAGCTAGGATAATCTATCACTGGGCTGCTAACTTCTACAGACAGTGTGTGCTACTAATAGTAATACTCAGTACTAACCCTCTCGTACTATTGTACTACTGTACTACTGTACTACTGTAGTCTAGTGGCAGAACTCAGAACTCTGCTGCGAATACAATGGTCATGCACTTGTAGTAGGCATGGACTCATAACAACAAGAGTACATAACCATAACCCCAGGGGTTTTGTACTCTTGATAACAAGTATAGACTCATTAATTTTGTACATGTATTTGTAATCTTCGTCCATTGTTGTTCTCATGCACATTCCGCTCACTGCACTGTAGTAAAAGATGTGTGTGGAGAGTCAGTAAGCGATGAGAGTGGTGACTTTTAGTGAGTTGCACAGCAGGACCCTGGACCGGGTGCATACCGGTATGCATAGAGATTACTACTGCCAGTATCACGAGATGCATGGCGTTTTCATGGGTTTTGGCATTGCCTTCTTGTCCAGTGTTGTTCCGATCCTCAACGCCCCCAGTACAGTACAGACTACAGTACAGTACACGCATAACCGGTTTAGACTGGCTGTCTAAGTACACGAGATACTGAGCCAAGGCTGCATCCCAACTGGCCCCATCATGCTCTGTGGCTGTGATCGCGATCGAGCTTGATGCTGGACAACTGCAGAGCACTTACAGAACGTCTTTACCATGTTTGGCATAACATGGATGACAATAGTGTCAGCATTTTCGTACCCAAGCCAAGAAGTGGCAAGCAGTTCAGACAGCCAGAGCATGCAGTTGAGTGTGCATGCATATCAAGAGTTCAAGTCAGCAAATTCAGGTCATGATTCAGAGCTTGTCTTGAGGTACCTGTACAAACTGAGCTGTCGTCTGTTGAACAATTTTGGCTGATGATAACTATAATCATGGCACCATCACCATTCCGTCAAGCACGAAGCACATGTACATGTACGATGCAGTTATTGCACGTAATAAAGGCAATACTAGGACTGTATGACCATGTCCTGACAAATGCTCATGCATAACGCCGTGCTCACAATCAGTATAAAAGGCGATGTTGCACCCTATGCAGCTTCACACCAGCCTTCCAAGATGACTTCCACACCTTGGAAGGAGCTGCTGGCCTGGGCCAAGCCGCTTACTTCGCCTCAGATTTTCTGAACATATGACGCTTACTTCGTAATGGAGAGGTGCTGCCATCTAGCCTCTCCCGGTCGCAGCCAGCCATTCAA